TTAGGGTGGAGGGGCTTAAAAAAAAAACCAAAACCACCCCGAAAAGAGGGGAAATCACCCGAAAACGGAGCTTTTTCCCATGGCCGGGAATGGGCCGGGCAGGATCCGGAGCCGAGAGCTGGAAAACAATGTCAGGAAAACCCCAAAAAGTGCTGGAAAAACAAGGAGCGTCTCGGCCTCCACCTCGGAACGCGGCCCCGGCTGAGATTTTTGGGTTCAGTTGGGAGGGTTTGGGGTAAAAAAGGAGAAAAGGCACTTTAAAAATATATATATATTTATTTTTTTAAAAAAAGTAAGTGAAGGGTTCTAAAAACCCCGTCCGAAGGGTTCGATCCGGCGCTTTTCGAGGGAAAGATGGAAGGATCCGGCCCCGAGCGCGTTTGAACGGGAGGCTGGTTTGGGATGGAAAATAAAACCCCCCAAAAAAATAAAAATAGGGCAAAACACCTAAAATGAGGGATTTTGGAAATGCTGGGGGGAAGGACGAGGGGGTGACCCCATGGTGGGGACCCCAAACCGCCCCGATGTGGCGGTGGGATTTGGGGCGCGTTCCCCAAGTGCCGATTCCCAGGAAGGATCCTTGGGGAAAGTGGGATTTTTGGGGTTAAAAAAGTGCAAAAAGGGGGAAAGTGTTGGGAGAGCAGCGGGATTTGGAGGGGATCAGGGGGCGCTTTGCTTCCCATCGGTTGGAAAGGGTGAAATCCGGTGGGAAAGGGAGGTTGGGGGGGGCTGGGTGCCCCGGCCGGATCCTGCACCGCCCGGCCCAAGGTTTGGGGTGTTCCTGAGGGTGGGGAGGGGACGGGAATGGGATTGGGATTCAGACTGGGATTGGGATGAGAGGGGACGGGATTCATTTGGGGATTGGGATTCAGATTAAGGTTGGGATGGGGACAGGACCGGGATGGGGATGGGATTTGGGTTGGGATGAGGGTGGGGACGGGATGGGACGGGATGGGATGGGGGTGGGACTGGGATGGAAATGGGATGAGACAGGGGTGGGATTGGGATGGGGTTGGGATTGAGATGAGGGTGGGGATTGGGACTGGGATGAAATTGGGATGGGGATGGGTACAGGATGAGGATGGGGACTGGGACAAGGATGGGATTGAGCCAAGGACGGGGATGGGATTGGGATGGGATAGGGCCAGGACAGGGATGGGATTTGGATTGAGATGAGGGTGGGGATGGGAACAGGATTGGGATTGGGATGGGGATGGGGACAGGGATTAGGATGGGAATGGGGACAGGGATTAGGATGGGGATGGGATAGGAATGGGATGGGATTGTGCTGAGGAGGGGAATGGGATGGGATGGGATGGGGACAGGACAAGGATGGGGATGAAAATGCAGCTGGGGACAGGGACAAGGCTGTGGTGGGGCAGGGATGAAGATGTGGAGTATGGTGACGGTGGTGATGATGGTGATGGCCACAGAAGTGCTGATGAAGCTGGGGCCGGTGACAGCAGCGGTGCAGGGGCTGCAGGAGGTGGAAGGGCTGGTGGCATGGAGGACAATGGGGCTGCAGATGCAGAGGGGGGTGATGGGGGGGTGGAGATGGAGGGGGAGATGATGATGCAGATGTGGACTGGGAAGGTGATGGTGCTGGAGGGGCTGCAGCTGCAGCTGGTGATGGAGGTGTTGATGGCAGTGGAGATGGTGATGGCCGTGGTGGTGATGGCAATGGAGGTGGAGATGGAGATGGCTGGGGTGGG